TTAAAACTCAAGATCATCAGTCGCGCAGTAGAACTGGGAAGTAAAGTAGCTGCGAGAGAATTCAGCATTAATGAATCAATGGTACGGAATTTGAGGAAGCAAGAAGATAACCTGCGCCAAGTAAATCAGACCAAACAGAGATTCAGAGGAAGCCAAGCGAGATGGCTTTTTTTAGAGGAAAAAATTGAACAATAGATTGTTGAAGAGAAAGCAAGAGTTAGAAGGCTCTGTGCAGTGTCTGTTAAAATCAAAGCAAAAACGTCAGCGAGGAATGTGAATATAAATGATTTTCCAGGCAGTACTTCCGGGTGCTTTAATTTCACGAAAAGACGTTATCTCGTCATCCGCACACAAACTACCGTCTCGTAGCAATTACCAAAATATATTGATGAAAATTTGGCCACTTTCCGCGCACACTGCAAAAACAAGATCATTGAAAAGAAGATTCTCGCAGAGCACATCACTAACGTGGAGGATGTTCCCCTCACCTTTAATATTCCCGTGAACCGCACTGAGGAGAAATTGGGGACTGACTGATTTATCTGATTGCTAGGACAAAGGTAACATCAAGATCCGTGATTAATGAGGCCCTACGGTTTATTTGAACATTCCACGGCACTTTTTATACCAAAAAGACGCTTCAGCTCGGCCCACTTGCACTACCATGCTGGCTTAATTGGTCCTTTTGGATACATTAATAGGTTTCTTTGTGAAGGGAGAAGTCTGCCGGTCGACCGCTTTCCACGTCTGTGACTGGCTAGCGGTTCGACCAACACAGATGGACGCCCGGTCACCTTTCTGCTTCAACGTCACGGCCAAGGAAGCTGTGGTTACGTACGTCAATTTGCCTTTCTCCAGTTCGAGCACCTCCGATTACGTGTTTTTATAGAGAAAATGAGGAGATTTCTTCAGCTGTTCAATCACAAGTTGTATGCATTGTATCTGCTCCAAATCTTAAAATGTTTGAGGAAGTTAACAGCATGGTGTGCGATAAAAGGGCTCATAATGGGAGGCGTATATGGAATCTAAAATGCGTTTTTTCAGAAACCCCGAACAAACATCACATATGCCCTCGCATTTGTTTGTACTCTTCAACCAGCCCAAATAAATAACCTCAATGAAAAACGCGCCGCGTTGAGTTGTTGTCCTGATGAAGAACGGAGAAGGTGGCGATGAACTTCCTGAGGGTTCTCCTTATCAGAGCATTACTGAAGACTTGCCACAAACAAAGAAGACTAAGATTGGCCCGAAGATCCTGGTAATTGTACATTTGTTTTTCAGCAAAAGACTTAAGCTTTCTTATGCTGACAACGTGGACAAGTGGTTACTTGGATTTGGAATGCTCTTCAGTATACTCACTGGCATTCTAATTCCTGCAAACTTACTGATATTTCAAAAAGTCGTGAATACATTTACAACGAGCAATCCATCTGAAGTAATCAAAAGTATGACGTCGTTGGTGCCCACTTTTGTCATTCTGGGATGTGTGTGTCTTGTTTTGGCTTTCGGCCAAATGTTCTGCCTTGATGTTTCGGCTAAAAGACAAGGCAGGAGAATACGTCTTCTTCTTTTCCAGGTAATTTTCGTATACTTGCTTCGAGGCAGATAACGCCCAAGCAGCTAATTGTTATTAAGCATATTTCATCTTCGGATTTCGTTATATATATATATATATATATATATATATATATATATATGCAACGGGCGAAAGTCTTGTGCGCTCCCCTAGCAATGAATATTTGCGGAAATTCCGACCACCGGGGTTATTCCACCTTAGTTTTAAATACCTAATTAAATGAATTATGGGTTAAGACGAGAGCAGAAGAATGGAAGGCGCTTCGGAAATTTCTCCTTATTTGGTTTGAAGTATAGAATGTTCTTTGTGTGTCTCGTCTTGCAAGAGAATGCTACTGCATAAGGCCTTTTTTGTTTATTCTCTTTTCCTTTTAACCGAAAAATAAATAAACGTAATTTGTCAACTTCCTCAATTACTATACAAGCCTGCAATGAATTACTTAATTTCATTTTAGTCGATCTTGCGACAAGAAGTCGGCTGGTTTGATGAACAATCTGTGGGGAACTTAATTACGCGATTGAGCAACAATGTCGACAGCATAGAGGGTGGCATCGGCGAGAGACTAGGCCACTTTTTGCAAAATATCAGTACTTTTTTTGCCGCTGTCGTTATCTCCCTTGTTGCTGGATGGAAATTGGCACTAGTTGGTCTTTCTATAACACCACTGGTTCTCGCCGCGTTTGTATTTCTTGCATTTGCATTGAGAACATTTTCTATTCGAGAAATCGCATCTTACGAGGTCGCAGGCACCATTGCGACTGAAGTGTTTACTGCAATTAGAACTGTCTTTGCATTTGGTGGGCAAGAAAAGGAATGTGCTCGCTATGAGAAAGAACTCCAAGCGTCATCCCGAATCTCCTTCCTAAAGTCCGTCTTTGTAGGTCTTGGTAAGTCTATCTTCTTGCTTTCTTTACCTTCGCATATCTGCTATACCTGTTGTACTTGCAATCTGATACGAACTTTTAAAAGCTAAATTTCAATTTAAAAGGAGTTCCATTTTTCTTGATATTTTGATGAATCTCTTATCGCTTAACATAAAGAAAATTTCAGTCTTCTGTTGACACTTCTTTTGGAAAGGCACGGGTGCAATTGGCTGCTCAATTTTCATTGATGCTGCGATCTGCTTCTACTATGGAGTGAAACTCATCCTCGATGAAAACTATGAAAATGGAACCGTTGTTTTGGTAAGAATATTAAAATGCTATTGTTTTCCGCTGCAATCCTAGTTCCAACAATTTGTTTAAAATATTGAAATGTATTGACGTAAGCAGTCTCTCAAAGGTAAATTCCCAGTTCACGCAGTGACAATTTCACAAATATTATTGTCGAATTATATTTATGGACCTAGATTTGGATATAGACCTTATTAATAAGGGTTAGATTATCCTATATAATGAGTTCAGAATGTAGGCTTGAGGATTAAACGACTTATTTATTCCTTTGTGTTTTACCATTCAGGTGATATTATGCTTCATAGTTGGTAGTACAAGCCTTGGTCGAGCGCTTCCGGAAATAGAGTTTTTCTCATCCGCCGTTCAAGCAGCCGATTCTGTTTTTGAAATTATCCAGCGGGTGAGTAGTATGGCTTATTACGTTGGAAACCGTTTTGTTATGTTTATGCATAAGCACGCAAACACGCCATGTAATATTAAAATCCATGTTAATTTGTATATCTGAAAGACATAAACATTTAATTAGTGGAGGGTTAAAAATACACGGGCGTCGGGAATATGCAAATTTAGCGAGGCACTTAAAGACGCAGGAACCAGTTTTATTCATAGGAACTTAAACGAATTGGGAACCGCTGAAAATATTTGCTTTTAGCTGGTTTGTCACTGAAGCAACTTAGTAATTAACGTTGCTGTTGGACGAGTTTAGTTTAATTGGACATCTGAACTACCGAATTGTTTATTCATCAAAATGCACTACGGTGAACAATTTAGTAGTGGAAGCAAAAATGGGCCTTAATGGAGCTCTTGAATTTGTTTTCCATTGCACATATTTCATCCCAATCTACCTGAGAGAATCTACGATTAGTGTCTACGATTAGAATCCCAGCATATTTCCTATCTTTATTTTTACCATTCACGCATCCTGCTTAAATAATTGGAGTTCTTACTATATTTTCTTGATTAAACTTAAATTCGATAGAATAACGTAGTTCTACTTTAACGAAAGGTCAAGATTCGAATCATCAGAAACTCAGCCGGGTTCTGCGTGCTTGAATCTCGTAATCAGTTGTGCAAGAGGGTGCAGTTGAAATGTTGTGCGCATCGCCTGTTTACTGTTTACTGTGAACGAAGGGTATAAAGAGGAATTCGAAAGCCCAAGTCCTTAACACATAACACCTTCCTTAATAAAGCACTCGATTAACCGATCGAATTTCGATAGAAACAACTGACTGCTTTCGGCCACACTCATCAGTTTTAAAAGATATTTTAATTATATAGTCTGCTGGAGCCTCGAGGATAAGGAAACGGAACAGAACTCGAATTTATGGGCCAAACTGTATTCACCTTGATGTTTTGTTGGATATAAGTGCGATGAACGGGAAAGCTTAATTAACCGCCTGCTGTACCTGCCGTTGCTGATGCACTTTAAGTAATTTATAAGAACATCCCTGTTACGCAAACACAGTTCACTTTGCGTCTTCTAGAGTCTTATAGCAGTAAAGTAATTGTCGTTCTTCAAAATAAGTCATATTATAGTTTACCAGGTTATATTAAGTTGTATAGAAATATCAACCTTTTGGAAAAGCGTAAAATTCTAAAAAGGGCGAAAATCGGGCGTACTAGATAAATTTAAGTTTTAAATTTAGATAAAGCTTGTTCATGCATAAACCGAATGAATAAGGCAGCACAAGCTAAACTGCATTGGAATGTAATTCTTTCGTAAAATTTTATGATACATATGCTTCCATAATACGCGCAATATAACGTTTTACTGTTACTGAAGAGCTCACAGTTTCAGTATGTATTTCAATATGGTATCATAAGAATTGCTAGTTGTTTCGCCGTTTATAGGTTATCTGAGTTAAACTGGACTAAGGAAACAAGATTTTCGTTTGATTGCATCTATTGAAAGGTTACAAGAGTAATATAATTCGTACGCACACGTGCGGAAATGCCGGTCAGTGTCTAATACATTTAAATGTCTGCTACCGTCTTCTGCTAATGTCTGTGATAATGAATCCGCGATGGATGTCGAAACGTCAGGCGAATAAAAGTATAGTCCCAGCGATCAAATCGTCTTCTTCTTCTTAAATGTAATTGTCACGTGCAATCGTATACGTACCACTTTGTGTACACGAAAGTGAATTTCCTTCCGACACATTTCCTAAGTATTTAGGGATTTTGATAACGACGAAGTTCCAATCGTTATTGAAATGGTGGTTACCACTTTATGATTTTCAGTAGTTCCAGTCAATGTTTCATAAAAATTGATCCTCTTGCCTACCAAAACCCTGAAAATAAGATATTGCTTAAACGCATTTTCTAAATAAAGAGCTTTTGGGCGTCCTTTCTAATGTCCCTGTGTAATTAGGTCATGGTTTTTTCGATTCATTGCCGAGAAAGATGAACGTTTGCAAAAAACGTCAGATATCAATATGTCTATGAATAATTAAAATTATTTGGATAGCTTTCTGTGCAATTTGCTTTTTTTGAAGATGAAATCAAGATAAAAATGGCGAAGTGTGACAGTTTTTTTGATTATCCTGGGAATTTGGAATATATTTTCTGCTCAAAATGAAAGAATTCACTGATCTGCGCATTAGAAAGTAGTTTACAGTAAATTTCTTTATTTTCAGGCCCCGTGCTAAGATAACAAACGCACAACAGAGGCACAGAATCTATACCACGATTTTTGAAAAAAACTGAGAATCTTCGGACCGTTCTGTTTTAAGTTTCCCTATTCCGTCATAACAAATTGCAGCTAGAAAAGTTTGGGCCTAAGTTGCATACAGTCTGACACAAAAAAGTGAAGGCATGTCTCGGGTGTTCATATATATATGCTTGGCTACGGTCGTTATTTTCGGTGTGGCAAAACAAATTAGTACTTATTTTTATGGCACGAAACGTACCAGATTAGCAAAACAGAATTTTTTGAACTGAATCCGTTCTTCGTTTCTCCAAACCAATGCAAATTCTCAAACTTGCATTAACACGAATTTCATTAAGGATAAAAGAAATCTTTCGTTATTTGAAAAAATAATGAAACACTTTCTGACTTATTTTAATGCTTTTCCCTATTACAACACGAATCAAGAAAACTTTTTAATCCGCAGCGTTTACTAGCATAGGAAATACCTTTGATTTCACCTTATGTTAGATTTTGCCCAATTCTGTTCCAATTCCCTTTCAATATACTGAACTGAACTCTTTCCGAGCAAACAGCATTTTGCGCCCCAAATCAGTTCAATGAATAAAGTAAACAGCTGCAAATGTGTGTTATGCCACCCCTGGATGTTTGCTCTTCACATTTCATGAGTTGAGCAATAAACAGTACGTCTACGACACTTTACAAAGTCACTGCATCAAAGTTGCAGGTGCCACGATTACCAAACTAAAATATACAACTGCCTTCAGAGCCCTAGGTTGGTCGGTTTTATTCCCTCCCAACCAATGATCTAGCAGAGTCTGACTAGTCGATGAAACATGGTGAGTAGCTGATGACAGTGTGATTTTTCCACCTGATGCGTGCCGCAAGCATGTTGAACAATACATACGGATGTTTTAGCTCGTTTACAACCGCCAAAGTCTAGTTCGCTTTACGTGGTTAAATATTGATTGAAAACAACTTCACACGAGTAATTTTATTTTTGCATTTATGCAGATACCAGAAATTGATGTGTCCGCCGAGGGAAAAAAGTTACCGTCCACAGCTGGTGAAATCGCCTTCGAAAACGTTGCATTCTACTATCCTTCGCGTCCCGATGTTCCTGTAAGCCTACTGACTAATGAATTTGCTTTCCTGTTATTTATACAGTAGTCGCCGGTTATTAAGCCCATGGTTAATAGGCCCAGCCGCCTAT